AGATCATGAATCGACCAATGTTAGACCACCACTGGAAACCTGGAAGCACTTGACGACCATTTCTTCCTAGTACATCAACCTTCAGTGGTAAGCAGCTATGGTTTAGCTAACAGAAATAGAATACAATACCTTCATTCTCGCGCGAACGTCTGAGCTTTAACCACTGAGCCGTCATCCAACGGTGTTAATGTCTAATTTTAATCAGTCCACGAAATTGAGCGACCATTTTCTATTGTCTTTGATGGGTAACTGCCTCACACCTGACACGGTCGAACTCTACTGGTCACGGCTTCTCACTAGATTTCCGGGAATTACCTTTCGAAGCTAGTCATTGGTTAGCACATGATAATTATCAGTATAGGGTCGTTGTGTTAAACCGTGATGAGTTTGAGTCAGTTACCCACCGAAGACAGTGGGAGAGGATCTCACAATATCAGGTGCTGGATCGGCGGTCTAGGGATTGGACGTTCACACACGAGATTGAAGGTTCTGGATTCGAATTCTATGTGCGAATCGTGGATGCGTGTTGCTAAGGAGACCCATACGAGGGTGGAATGGCCATTCAGTGCTTCTAGATTTTTGATGGAGATCTAACAGATTTTTTGTTCGAAAACATTCTCACTCGCGTTTTACTATTGTATATATTGTAGTGTTCAAATTAAGGAGAAGATCTTAGGCTGAACTTTTTAACGATTTTGTACTTTTAAGCTAAATACTTATATCTTGGCAAAATGTTTTTAAAGATTGTATTCATACTGTTTGGTAACTTATATATTTTAACCACTTCATGTAGTTATTTTATGCAACGCGCTTTTTTTTCCAAAAAATACTTAAATTTTTCCTTTACTGATGTTGTACGATCGTAACCTATGGGTATGTAACCTTGCTTCTGCAATCATCAACGAAGTATAATTGTTACATCAATGTTACACATGATTCTTCATTAACTGGGATAATTTGTTATAATCAGATTTCTTAACATTTCAGTTGCAGAATGATCTCCAGAAAGATAAAATCAATAACAGCTTAGCACAAAAGCAAATTTAGTTGGTTTATTGTTCAATTTTCTAGGATGTGTGGGAGAAAATGACGAGTACTTAAGAATAGATAACATGATATGAATTACAGTTCAATATCAGTTTAAATTATCATCTTAACTTGAATAAAACCGGTCTCTCATGTCTTTTGTAACTATATACTTGAGATCAGAAATACAGATTATAATTTATGAATAGTATTCTAGAATATGGATCATTATTGTTAGTTCGTGCTTGGCTATGCAATACTATTTCGCGAAAAAAACAATTTATTAGATTATAATTTCCTTGAATAACGGTGACATTCTAATTGTGCGTTACCTTTAACTAAAGAAAATATTTCCTATTATTTTGGAACTTTCCAGTTTATAAACTAAAGTAGGATAGGCATGGATTCAGATTCGTTCTTTCGAATTTAATAGAGAAAATAACTGATTAGTAACAGACAAAATCTTTCAGTACGAATGCGTTAATATATAACCTTTTTTATTAGAGTATCCATTAGAACTTGTATAATAAATTTTCCGTGAATATACGTTTGTTCATTCTAAAATAATATCTTACAGTGTTTAATTCTAATGATTTCACCACTAGTTGATAGATAAAATAAAAATGAAACTAATCCATGGTTCATTTTGTCTCCAATAAAAAAAATATTCAAAATCTGAAAAGAAGAAATCAACAAATTATTTTCATTGATAAATTATAGTTTAAACAATTGATTTTGTCCAAGTATAATAAGAATGAGCATGCTCTCAAATTGGTAAATGTATCACTGAATGTTTTAGTCACTTCTGATCATTTTACCCATTTGAGAAGAAAAGTCTATTTAATTCAAAATAATTAGATATAATTAACTGAATAACTTTGTAGCACATGAAAGATATTCTATTTACCAAGTTTACTATTTTTTTTTTCATCATTTACTATTCTTGCTGAGTATTAAAGAATATAGTATTTTCATTGAATTTTCTACAATTCATTCATTTGTTCTTCTTTTATCCAAGAATTTATTAAATTTTAGCTTTGTACTTTTTTCTTCACATATACTTAATCATCTTTGAAATATTCAACTTCCATTTATACACACATCCATGTAATTTATATTATTATCATTTCTATTATTAAGTGTATCATTTTTGTCTGTATATTACTAAATATACAAAACTAATATGAGTCGAAGAATGACATTTTTACATAGTATAAAAACATAATTATCGAATGAATTAATCGACTAAATATTTATTTTTTAAAGTGAAATAAAAAATAGGATGATTTAATGAAAATTATACTACTAAAGTAATATTAAGTAGATGAATAAATGATTATCTGTCATAAGATAACGTTTGAAATAAGATTCTATCTTTCGTTCTATTCTATAATAAATAGATACACATGTGTGAGTAAATACAAAGACTAACAAACTAGCTCATACATATAAAAAATGTGTAGACTCACATACAATTCAAGGTGTGCAACTGAATATAAATATATATATATTTTCTATTTATCCGAATTTTCGAAATGTTCATTATTTTTCTCATCATCTTTGTTTCCCTTGCTATCATGATACAATTTATTATACCATCATTGAATATATATATATATATATATATATATATATATATATATATATATAATAAACAACACTTAATAATAAATTATGACTTAGTTTATCAGGTGCAATTGACGTATCGCGGGAATTATACTCATTCATTGTTTGGTTGTTTATCTATTCTGTTCATTTTCTGTTAGAGGGCGGACATTTTTAAAGAAAAAAATGGTGTTAAGGATAGACTAGAAATAGATTGTAAAATAAAAATGAGCAAAGAAAAAAATATACATATTTTGATCAATTCTTCTCTTAAAAGAAATAAGGTTAAAAAAATTCTTTTTTTTTCTTACTGGGTTATTAACAAAAATAAAGGTAAAAAGAATATTTAAGTAGAAAAATATATTCTTATTAATCATCATATTAATAATTTTAATAGCAAGAAATGATATAAATTAAAGTAGTATGATTGAATAAGGTGAAAAAAATTATTCCTACTTATTCACTTCTTTTCACATTATGGAATAAAAACTCTTTTTCTATCAATGAATACAAATTATATATAATGTCAAGTTTTATGTCAAATGAATGGATCGAGTGTTATCTGGTGTTAAACTTGCGTTTATTCTTTAAGATATTTATGTTAATGTGTTTTGAATAGTAAAAGTTTTTAAATTATTCTCTTGTTATTGATAAACTTTAAATAAATAACAATATCAGAAGGGAGTTTTGTAGAGATTTTAGTCATTTTATGATTGAATTCATGAGTCAATTGAACCAGACCACCATGGAAAACCTGGAAGCATTGAATAGCTCAGTGGTTTAGAGGTTAAGCGTTTTCGAGCGAGACTAATAGGTCCCGGGTTCAAATCACTCAGGGCGAGATAGTGGGTGTATTCTGCTGAGAAGCTTCGTACTAGAACGAAATGACCGTCCAATGCTTCTAGGTTTTTCATAGTGGTCTAGCTTCAATTGACTCATAAATTCAACTATAAAATAACAATATATTAAAGAAGAAGAATGTATTTGTAAAATCTCAGAGAATGAGTTTGAAGTAAATTCAACTTTTCGCCTGGCAATCTGGATTTACTTTAAATTCAAATACAATTACAAATACATTCTTCCTTTATAATGTCTCATGTAAATTCGGCGCCCAAATACTGTGAAATTATTCAATTAATTTCACACGAAAATCCTTATATATAATTTTGTGATAACAATATATGTTTTAAAAATGAATGAAATCTCAATAATTTACCTTTTCGATCATTTTTAAACTTGTTTTTTTTTATATACGAGAAATGTCTGAACAGATGTATGTCAGAATAATAATGAAACTTTCCATTGATTGATTTCTTTTTTGTTAATCAACAGTAAATATGAATTGATTATTTCATTATTATTAGCTTTATTCAATATTATATATTCGGTACAATATATAATTCTCAGTAGAAAGTATTTCAATGACTTTCGGTTTCGTGTTTCTTGATCTATATTGACGATAAATATTGAGTGATCAGCAGTTACATATGGGCATCTGAATAATATTTATTCTTTTTAATGCACATTTCCAGCCATCATGATGTCTCCGATTGTAAATTTTTGTAACTTGTACAGCGTAAGGTCGTAAACCTTTTACAAGCACACCTGAATAGGTTATGCAATTAATTGGTATGGTGATCTGTTAAAACAAACTAGGAAACAGATAACTTGTTGAAATATATAAATTGAAGGGACAGGTAGCCCAGACATTCAAGCAGGCCACTGGTGCTTAATCTATAGAATATTAGAATTTAAGGTTAATTTTTCCTTAAAAGTTTCTTAATGTAGAAATCAGTCAATTGTTAGAATCTAGTTGAAATGAATAGCAAATCTTATAAATATCATTTGTTTTATTCACTTTATCTAATACATTTTAATATATGTTCATTTTTGAAGTTTTAGAATATTCATTGAGATTCATAGTATGAAGTTTTAGTTAACCCTCAGAAGTAAATTAAATCTTACATCAATGCTCTTAGTTCTAGGTTCGTGATAAAATCACTTTGCCGTTAGTCAAATCTATACAAACTCACATTCAAAATAAAAAAACCCACAAATGAAAACTTGAAAAGTCTACATTGATGACGTGACTTGGTAAATATACCGGGTTGAATGTAAAGTTAGTTGTTTGTCGATTTCATTTGACAAAATTAACCAAAACCATGAGTTCTAAACTATAAGATTTCCATCCGCCATCTTAAAAGTGAAATAGTTAATATCTCATGATCCAATTGGATGTTAAACAGTTGCGTACATTAAGATGGCAGCAATATTTTTCATTCCTATAATCTATACAGTGAAATTAGATTTTTATTTTCTGCAATTTTTAACTACATTAATATTCAATTAATTCTGTTTTATGTATACAGTCATCTGTGGGTCGCAACCAAACGGGATTAAGTGGATTATCTAATGCCACATCTAGTGCAGTTATCCCGAATTCCATAACTACTGAAGCAGTTACTATAACTGGAATTCCCACTGTAACCGATTCAAGCGAAAGCAGTTCAATAGAATCATACTCTGATTCGCAAGTTAATTCTCATTCAAATTTAGCTCAAGCTTATATGAACCAGTCTAACTTTTACAACATAAATTCTCATGATGGAAATAATACATGTTCAACTATTACTAACAATACTAATACTACTTCCACTACAACCACTTCTATGAGTAGTAAAATTCATGCAAATGATATTGACAATGATAGTGCTGTAATTCATGAAGATTCTGATAAATCAATGAATTTCCATACAAGTCCATTTGATTATTCATCTCAATCATTATATACAAATTCTTATTATAATCAATATTTTTCACAATATATACGAGATAACATTCCTTTGAATAGTATGTTACCAAATATGAATGACACATTAAACTATACAGAATCATTAAACAATCACAATATCAATAGTAATCATACAAATAGGACTTATGAATATTCTAATCCTTGTGGATTTTATTCAAATTTTTTCTTAAATCCAAATAATAATATACATTCTAGTGATATAATTGGTAATTGTTATGCATCTTCGACAAAAATGAATTCATCAAATTCACTAGCTTATCATCATCACCAAAATCAACAGCATCTTCTTTCTTCTCATCATCAGCATCCTCAACATCAGCAGCACCAGCATCGACAATATAACCAATTGCGTAATCATTACCATTCATTACTTAGTGATGCAGTAAATAAGGATAACTGTAATGATTCCAATTCCGTACATCCTAGTCAATCTATGCCAAATTGTTCATCATCAACAATGAATTCTACAATTCAACCGCCAAATTTTATTGATCCTTTTATTGATGTTTCTGATGATGTACAGTCACGTTCACATGAAACAACTCATTTACAACATGAAACTAATCAATTAGAGCATAGTCCAAACTCAATACCATATTTACAGCATGGATTACATTCCCATTATCCAGTACTTTCTAATAGTTCTTCAATTTCAGTAGCATCAACATCACCATCATCATCATTATCTACATCATCATTGCAATATCATAATCTTTATCAATTACAACATTTTCCATCAAATCATACACATTCATCCTTATTACATAATTCACAATATACAGGATATCGTACTAATTGTATACCATCAAGACCAACATCAAGAATTCGACATACAAAAGCATCTTCATTGAATGGTTCAATTCGTAGCGATAGTTCATTAAATGATGATATACAAGCAGATAGAATTGGGCTTAAATCAAATGAATTAGGAGTAGATGAAACTGGTCAGTGTTTATTTCTAAAATCATTTTAAATAATTCTATAAGTTTATAAATAGTATAAATTATTTCATATCAGAAGGGTTTTTGTGAATATTATAGTAATTTCAATGGTTGAGATCATGAGCCATTTGAAGCTAGACCACCATGAAAAACCTGAAAGCACTAGACAACCGTTTCGTCTTATTGTTGAACTCCTTAGCAATGAGCTTTCACGATTCTACCTCGCAAGATTCGAATCCAGAACCAATCGATCTTGCACTAAAGACAATGGTGAATGTGTAGCTCAATTTCGTGGATTTATTAAAGTTAGACATTGACATCTCTGGACGCCGGCTCAGTGGTCTAGTGGTTAAGTGCTCGCGCGTGTGACCAGTAGGTCCTGGGAACGAATGTTGCGAGGCAGGATCATGGATGCACACTGTTGAAGAGTCCAAACATCTTGTGAAACGGCCGTCCAATGCTTCCAGGTTTTCCATGGTGATTTATCTTCAATTGACTCATAATCTCAACCACTGAAATTAACTGTTTTCATGTTTTTGATAAAAATGAAATTACGATTTTATTTAAATGAAAGTAATATTTTTTTTCTGATAGTGATTAATTCAAATATAATTTACTTTAAATAAAATTTCTTAAAGAAGCTTTAGAAATAAGGAAAATATTCATTGAATATATAAGTGTAGTCCAAAATTTTATTTATTTATTATTTTAAATATGAAGTAGTCAAAATTAAGACCACTTAAATAATAAAGGTTCGATCATTATTTTTTTTCGACAAAATATTCGAAATAAACTTGATTTTCATTATATAAGTAGTAAGATTTATTATATCATTTGTTAATGTTGAAAGATCTTTTATTCACCTTAATCATTTATTAATTATCATTGATGTTTTGAATATCGGTGTGAGTTAAATTAATAAAAATAAAATATTTCTGTTTTAGACGATAAGCATTAAGTAAATGGTTATATAATAAAAAATGGTCATATTAATTGTTTGGTTACAAATGAAGCATATATTCTATTGATTTCTAAAGACTTGTAAAGTAATTGATAAACTTCTTTGATCATGTATTAATATCAGTGCTAGTAGTAGTAGCATAGGTATTTATAGTGTAATAGTGTAAGTAATACTATTGATAGTTGTAGTAATAATGGCTTCGTTCTGCTGAGGAGTGTTCACTAACATGAAATCTATTACTAGGATCTCTTACTAATCAGCTTTAAATGGTTTAATATGTTTTCAACTACTTCCAATCCTTTTTTTAAATTTTTCAATTATCTGTAAACAGAAATTTGTACTTTGATGAAATATTCATTCACTCATTTTCTATCAATTCTTAAACTTCATTTGAAGATTAATTCTTCTGTATAAATGATGTCTGAATATCAGTTTACTTTTATTCTGTGTGTAATAAAAGGATGACAATTATAAAATCTCACTTTTTTTTAAAATGGTTGAAAAACGTTCTTTTTATGAATGAGTATATTATAAAAAAATTTTTATAACATCATTGAATGCCGGCTCAGTGGTCTAGTAAGTTAAGCGTTCGCTCACGAGACCGAAGGCCCTGTGTTTGAATCTCAAGAGGCGGGATCGTGGATACGCATTGCTGAGGAGTCCCACAATAGGACGAAACGGCCGTTCAGTGCTTCCAGGTTTTCGATGGTGGTCTAACATCAATCGGTTTATTATCTCAATCAAAAAAGTAATAATAATTAAATCTAATGATGTTCTGAAAATTTTTGCACGCTTTCTATTCAACTTCTATTATGACTTAATTTCAACTGAAAAGTCGTTTGAAACTATATATATATGACGAGTTAACTTTGATTGACGACTGTTTAACTAGTTACCTGGAATAATATGGAACGCAGAAATACACTAACACAGTTGTCATAATTCAATTCATGATAAACTATAGGTTTTATGCTATCAACTGGTTTATTAGTTCTCGGAATGAGTGAATACTTTAGTTCATGCATAAATAGACTTGTGTAAAAATAAAAATGTTCTTTTAAAACTTTATGGGGATAATTTTCTATCATTTTATTTTGTAAAATGAGAATAATTAAGTGTTTTTCACTCAGGTATAGACTATCGTCTCAATAACCATTAGAAGGTTGACTTTTACATTAACCAAATATCAGATATATATGCTTTCCAAGGACTCACATGAAACAAAATACGTCTTTCTTTTCAAAATAATTTCGATTACCTTATAGTAACATACAATTAGTATTAGTATTGTGAAGAACTTTAAGACAATATTTTAAACGTTGAATCAACAATTACTTGTAAAGTAATATTTTATTAAAATCTGATAATAATCAAGGTATTTGATCTCGTTAGCACTTATCGATCACATTATGTTAATTGGTGTCAAAAAAACTTTCGAACTTTGTAATTATGCATACATCAGACTATAAAATACTAGTCTTCATTTTGTTAAGTAAAACATTTAACATTTGAACATTACAATGAAGAGGATTTAATATTGAACTCTATCTGAAATATTATTTTTCTTCTATAAGACACTTAAAATTAAAATCGATCATAGAGTAGATATTTCTTAAGTTATATTAATCAAGAGTTTGATTATAGCAAAAATCTCTAACATTTTCTGAAATGATAGTATATTTATTGTTTTATTCAATAAAAATGTAACCAATTGAAATGGAATAATAATTACTAAGAACTAGTATTCAGTCACTGTAAAACACTTAACGATTGTGATGAAATATACTAGATCTGATTCTTAATATGAATATCAACAATGAGATCCAATTACATTTAATTGATGAATTGCAAATATGATAAAACGAGCTTTCAGGTTTCTAAAGATGATAATAATCCATTTAACTTAAATTAATATTAAGTTAACTACTTACTTATTATATTGATTCAATAAAAAAAATACTTTAGCAAAGAATGAATTGTAAAACTTTCGTTTGTTTTTCTCTTACAAATATATTCTAAAAATTAGTTTTTTTAAACATTATTTTATCAAAAAAAAAAAACAAATCACAGTTTTTTTCTAAAAAAATATTTTTTTCGTGTTTTCGTTTAAAACTTTTCTAATTTTTTTCTTTTTTGAAAAAAAATTTCGATTAAATGTCAAAATATTTTTAGATATTTTACAAACGTATTATTTTTTCTCTAAACAAAAAAATATGAGTCAGTTAAGTTAACTTCTATTTTGACTGTATTAATGAAGAGAAATAAAAAGTGAGCAACTGTAATATTTATTTATATATTCAGCAACTATCTGAATGTTTCCTTCGACAAAAAAATAAATTTTTCATCATAGGAAAAGTGCACAACAGTAAAAAAAAGCAACACAATACAAAGTGATAAAATGAAATGACAAGTGATGTTTTGTTTTATTTTTTTATTTAAATAAATAAATAAAATAATAATAATAAATTTTACAAAATCTCTTGTTTATTTCATTCTATTTTGCATATGCTTATAAAAGAAATAGGATAAAAAGAAAGTTTGTATTTTGACTGAACATGAAAGTGGATGAATTATAGAATGGAGACTAGGCAGATTATTATTATTCTTTGTTTTAATATATTTTGTGACTAACAGAATATATATATATATAATGTTTTAGCTGACATTGTTGACTAAGAGAAAAACAAACACTACACATACTGACAATCCGCTTATCAAACCGCTCATCCTTTGACTAGTCTCTACTTTTACTTCTAAAGAGAAGACTATATTATATATAACGAGACAGTGAATAGATAACTAAACGGTAGGGCTTTAAAAAATACTGACGACAACAAAATGAAAGTCTTCCTCATTGCACATTGGTTATTTGATTTTTTTTCTTCCAAAATTGAAATCATAATTATAATTTCGTGTATGAATGTATAGTAGTACAGATATTGGAAAAACAACTGGAAATTGTTGTGTATTTGCTTAGTATTTGTACTAATGTTTCATTTCAAATCTTAATATTTTTTTCGAAAAAAAAGAAAAACTACGTCAGAAATTATTTAGTCTGTGAAACAGGAGGTAGAAAATATTCTTTTGCTTGTATCTGTTATCCATTTTAAACAGCTTTTCGTATTTAAACCAAATAAATTTACCTACAGTGTGATATATATACAGTTAACATCAAACCCTGGAGTAAGTGATGAGTTGGTATGCAGAATATATGATAACTGGTTGAATTTAACAATTCTGTTGGCTGAACAATCTGCTGTGAGCAGACACTTTACTCTCATTACTTTTTACTCAATAGGTATTCAACACGTAATAATGCTTCAATGACATTAATAATTAACTGTCTTTATTCTAGCTCAATGTTCTCTTTACAACATTATAGTATTAATTTAGGGATATAATTTTGACATGTTTAATTTCTAACATGGTTTTGAATATGTTAAAAGAACCACTAAACATCAAGGGGGCCCTAAATAAATTATAAATTCTCTCAACATTACATATTCATGACTTTGTAGGAAATCAAATCAGTACACTCAGATATCAACCATGAGTATTGTATCATTTAACTATTTAAGTTTCAAAGTTTGTTCTTACAAGATTTAATTGGTAATGAAAATTATTTTCAACAAAATATCTTAATTAGCTTACATAATGTTATAAGTAGTTGAATTCTTTATATCTATTCGACAGAAAACTTTGATTTCCCAATGTTGTTTTTTTTAAAGATTTTCTTTACAAATATATGTGGCATATCATTTTGTTTATATTCGACAAGAAGGAAAAAATAACAAATTCCCCAGTCAATATATGTACGTGTGTTTGTGTTTGTAATCGCTATCCAAAAACAAACTGAATATTTCATTATACTAATTAGATTATAATATATTTCAATAGATCATTTTCTTTAGTCATGCAAAATTTCCTGTAAGAGGAAAAACAAAATGTAGAAAGGAACTTGAAAATAGAAGTATAGGAATTAAATTTGAAAAGAAAAAGTAAAGACAACTAGAAAAGAATAAATCCTATCTACATACATACA